GGATTTAGCTATTATATTCCTTGGTGTTTTCAATTTGGGATCTCTTTCAGGAGAGGAATGGTGGATTCTTTCTATAGTTATTTTACCTTCAGGTTCTAGGACTTCAGGGCAGTTTTGCTTTATGATTTCCTGAAGGATATTGTCCAGGCTCTTTTTTTCATCATGATTTTCAGGTAGGCCTATGATTTTTAAATTGTCTCTCCTGGACTGATTTTCCAGGTCAGTTGTTTTACCCAGGAGGTATTTTACATTTTCATCTATTTTTTCATTTTTTTTGTTTCTGTTTGACTGATTCTTGATCTCTCATAGAGTCATTAGTTTCCTTTTTTTCAATTCTAATTTTTAACATATTGTTTTCTTCTGTTAGATTTTGTACTTTCTTGTCCAATTGGTCAATTGTATTTTTAAGGGATTTGTTTTCTTCAGTTACTTTTTTACCAGATCACCAATTGTATTTTTAAGGGATTTGTTTTCTTCAGCATACTTTTTTTTCCAATTGACCAATTGTGTTTTTTAGGTACTTGTGTTCTTCAGTGTACTTTTTTTTTCCAATTGGCCAATTGTACTTTTTAAGGACTCCTCTACTTTTCTCATTTGACTTTTAAAATCCTTCTTGAGCTCTTCTAAGAAGGCTTTTTGGGCTTCAGACCTGTTCATATTCCCTTTTGATGTTGCAGATGTGGGTTTGATAACAATGTTGTCCTCTTCAGAATTTCTGTCTTGATCTTCAGTCTTCCCATAATATGAATCTATCATATGTTTCTTTTTACTCATGGTGTTTCTTTATTCCCTGGCCTTTAAAGAGATTATGCTCTCCTGCTGGGGAGCAGAGATAATTGACCCAAGCTTCTCACATTGGGAGCCTAGGTCTTGGTCACTAACTTTGTGTGCTGGGGCCTCTTATGTTGGCAATTGGAGGCTGTAGGGTTCTGGCAGCTTATCTTGTGTTGGGCTGGAATCAGCAAGGTTGGGACTTTCAGGCAATCTAGGTTGCCTGCTTTTCCTTTCCTTTAGCTTTGTTCAGCTCCTTTTAGATGGGTGCTGCCAGGTGTTTATCTGCCTGTGGCCCCTTGAAGTGCTGCCTCCCTTAATTCTATTGAGGCACTGGGAGACTCCTTTGTTGTAGAATGCTGAGGCACCTGGTGGTTTTCTGAGCTGGTTTCCCCCACCCTCACTGAGGCACTCAGGGGTCCAGCTGTTGGTGTTTGCCTGCTTGACCACCTGGGCTTCGGGATCTCCTCCTGGTTGGCAGTTGGAAGCTGCAGGGTTCTGACAGCTTACCTGGTGTTGGGCTGTAATCAACAAGGCTACTCTAGGTTGCTTTCTTCAGCTCCTTTCAGATGAATGCTGCAGGGTGCTTATCCGCCTGGGGCCCTTTGTAGTACTGCTTCCCTTATTTTTGCTGAGGCACTGGGAGACTGTTTGCTGAAGAATGTCAAGGCACTAGAATCTCTTCCTGGTATGCTAAAGTGGGTCTTTCCATTAGCCGGCTGAGCGACTCCCGGTTCCATACTGCTCCCCTTCCCAGAGGGTAAGAGAGGCCTTTCCCGTTAATCCCTCTAGCTACCTGGGCTACTGCACTGCTGCACCCCTTCTTTCTTCTGGTTCAGCTGTTCCATGTTTTCTTCTGGGGTGATATTTTCTGGGTTTTCAGAGGTTGATAGGGGAGGGTGAGAGTGACTACCTTTTTACTCCACCATCTTGGCTCTTGGAAGTGAAAGTCTGATAATTTCTTGAAAGATGATGTGTGGGCTCTTTTTTTTGGTTATGACTTTCAGGCAGTTGGATAATTTTAAAATTATCTCTCCTGGATCTATTTTCCTGGTCAGTTGTTTTTCCAATGAGATATTTCACATTTTCTTCTGTTTTTTCATTCTTCTGATTTTGTTTTGTTGTTTCTTGATTTCTCATGGCATTATTAGCTTCCACTTGCCAAATTACAATTTTTAAGGAATTATCTTCTTCAGTGAGCTTTTAGATCTCCTTTTCCATCTGGCCAACTCTACTTTTTAAGGAGTTCTCTTCAGTGAGTTTTTGTATATCTTTTTTCCATTTGACTAATTCTCCTTTTTAAGGAATTCTTATTAGATTTTTGTACTTCTTTTACCATTTGACCTATTCTGTTTTTAAGGTTTCATTTTCTTCAGTATTCTTTTGTGCCTCCTTTGCCAATGTCTTGCCTTTTTCATGATTTTTTTGCATCACTCTCATTTCTCTTCCCAATTTTTCCTCTACTTCTCTTACTTGATTTTTAAAATCCTTTTTGAGATCTTTCATGGCTTGCCAATTCATATTTTACTTTGAGGCCTTGGGTGTAGCTATTTTTGTTTGTTGCTTTCTTCTGGATATGTTTTTTGATCTTCTCTGTCACCATAGTATTTTTCTATAGTCAGGATCTTTTTCTGCCATTTGCTCATTTCCCCAGCCTATTTCTTGACTTTTAACTCTATGCTAAAGTGGGTCTTTGATTCTGGAATGGAGGGCACACTTTCTCAAGCTACAGGGTTTTGTGCAGCTATTTTCAGAGCTACTTCTGGTGGTCTGTAAACCTTCAGTTCTTCCATACAAGGTGGTATGATCTAGGGAAAGGTGTATTTACTACTCCCCTAGTCTGTGCTGTGGTCTATGAGTGATCACAAACATTCTTTTCTGCCCTAGAACCATGACAAGGGTCTCCACTCCCCTGTGGTTGCAAGTTTTGGTGTCCTAGTGCTCCTCCTCACACTGAGACTGCCACCCAGGACTGCAACCTGGATCTGAGTATGAATAATGCAACAGACACCTGCTTACACTGCCAGCAAAGACATCCCTGTAATCTCTTTGGACCAGTTATCTGACCTCTTTACCATCTGTGGGCTGAGAGCTATGAAAGCAGCCACGGCCACTGCTGATTCAACTACTCCCAAGGCCTGTTTCTGGTTTGCTGGGGCCCAGTTTGTGCTGGCAACAGATCTTTCCTGCCAATTTTCTAAGTTTTCTTGGGATATAAAATTGTTTTACCCCATTCTTTTGTAGGTTCTGCCATAACAGAATTTGTTTTGAGGCATTATTTTAAAGATATTTGGAGGAGAATTTTGGAGAGCTTGGGTGAGTGCATTTTCACCACCATCTTGGCTCTGCCCCCCCCCCCCCAATTTTCTTCTTTAAAATATTTTATTGTATAAATTATTTATTTTGTTTTGCTTACTTAATTCTACATCATTTCATACAAATCTTCCCAAAGTTCTTTGAAACCAACTTTTTTTGTGATTTCTTATGGCACAATAATATTTCATAAGTCAAATTCCATCATTTGTTCTGCTGTTTTCCAACTGATGAACATTCCTTTAGTTTCCATTTCTCTAGCCCTAAAAAGGGGGTGCTTCTATAAAAATTTGTTTGCTTTACTGTGCCTTTTACACACCAATGTGCCTGTTTTCCCACAGCCCCTATGACATCAGTTATTTGGGGTTTTTTTGTGTTGATTTTGCCAATCTGATGGGTGTGATGTAGAAACTCAAAGTTGATTTATTTTGAAGCTTTCTGATCACTAGTTATTTGAAGCATCTTTCCATATGTTTATTGATTCCTTAGATTTCTTCCTTTGAAAATTACCTATTTATATCTTTTGGCCACTTATCAATTAGATAATGACTCTTCATCTTATAAATTTGAGTGTATCCTATATAAATAGATATAGATATAAATAGTATACATGTATATGTATATGTGTGTATGTAAAGAGGAGATTTAATACTAACAAACAGATATCACCTTGCTGACAAAGGTCTGTATATTCAAAGCTATGGATTTTCTAGCAATAATGTATGGCTTGAGACCTGGTCTATCAGGAAAGCTGAGCAGTAAAGAATTGATGCTTTTGAATTCATGGTGCTAGAGAAGAATTTTGAAGGTCCCTTAGACAGCAAGGTCAAATCAGTCAATACTTAAAGAAGTCAGTACTTAAAGAACTATTCACTGGAAGGTCAAATACTGAAGTTGAAGCTTATTTGGCCACATAATGAAAAGATGGGACTCATTGGAAATGACTCTGATGTGGGGAAAGGCAAAATAAGAAGATGGTAGAGGATGCAATGGATTGATAGAGTCATGGAAACAATGAACATGAACTTGGACATACTTTGAGACATAATGGAGGATAGAAGGACCTGCCATGATATGGTGTGTGGGGTCATGAAGAGTGAGACATGACTGAATGACTGAACCACAACAACTACTAGCTCATCTTCCTTCCCACCTTTTTTTTAATTATTTCATGGTGGATACTTGGTGGTTTGTGGCTTATCCACCCTTAGTAGGACCCCTCAAAATTGATGGGTTTTTTAAATGGTATATTAAATTTAAGAGTTAGAGGAAATGGGACATGAAACTCAGGTTGAAACATTCTAAGAATTTTCATTTTCTTAAATATCCCTCTATGATAATTGCATATATGAAGGTAGAGCCTTCCACATTGCTCACAAATTACCCATGATGTTGTGCCTTCTCATTGTCTTCCCACACCAGCATTCCACCCTTCTGAAATGTCCTCTCTTGACCAATATAAGGAATCTATGTTCCATGGTAGCCATTCATTTACTCTAACCATTATGTGACGCAAAAGTAAAAGAATAAGACCAAAGGGAGCTCTCAGTTTTTAAAGTCACATGGCAGACTCTTTGAATAATGGTTGCATGGAGATGACATGAAAGTGAAGAAAGACGAGAAGCAATTCTTGTTGCTTCAGAAGCAAAGAGAAATTGAGTAAATGTTAGCTTAGCTGGAAAAGGATTAATTTTTCCATCCAAGTAAAAATATTTAACTTGAAAAGTGCTGCTGACCAATTTGAAAATAAAGAAAATTGGATAATCATGTTTTCTATCATGGAAAAGAAAATAAGCAAATGACCCAGACTTGCTGAAATAGCAAAGAACAGTAGGGTATATAAGAGGCCCCTGGCTAAAATTTTCAGAATTCAAGTATCTCACTCACCTTGAAAGAAACCTAGAAACTCATCTCACCAACACCATGGTCAGCTCCTGTTGTGGCTTCACCTGCTGTGACCTGAGCTGTGGCTCTGGCTGCTGTGCCCCCAGCTGCTACCAGCCCTGCTGCCGCCCCAACTGCTATGGGTCCAGCTGCTGCCTCCTCAGCTGCTGCCGCCCCAGCTGCTGTGGGTCCAGCTGCTGCCACCCCAGCTGCTGTGGGTCCAAATGTTGCCAGCCTACTTGCTGCAGGCCCATCTGTTGTTACCCAGACTGCTTCAAGTCCTCCTGCTGCTGAGCTCTCACATCTGTGTACTCCTGGTCTTCATCCCAGCCTCATCCCAGACAGGCATCAACTTCCTTCCTCCTGTGCATCAGTACAAGTAGACGTTGAACATGTTGGTCAATAGCAAGCTGATCTACGCAAGGCCCCTTTGGCAACCTCAACCAGGGACTGAGTATCCAGATTCTTCCCTCAGTCCAAACTGTCATTTCATTCTTTCTCTCTTCTTCTTACAATGATACCAACTTTTAATTGAATTTAAATCCATCAAGTAAAATCCTCACTGAATCCCCCTACCTTTATGTTCTCTTTCTTGACCTCTAGTCACCAGGTTGGGCTGTTTGACAAGACATGTTCGACATATTTCTACATTACTCCAAGATTTGAGAACCAAGATTCCAAAGATATTTCCTTCCCAGATACCCTCATACATTGTCCTTCCTTTGTCTTAGTGGCTGTCAAATAAAACCTATACTTTCTTGAAATTGAAAAAAAATCCAGTGGCCTTATTCTTTCTTTCTTATCCTATGTTCTTTCTCAATATTTGTCACAACATCACAGAATCACAGAATTTCAGATTTCAAAAGATTCTCAGCATTAATCAAGTCTAACCTTTAACCAAAAGGAATCCCCATGATGATATTTTGTGTGTCTATCAAATATCTGATTAATGACCTCCAAGGAGTAGAAACACATCACTTCCTAAGATATTTCATTCCATTTTTGTATAGCTCTGATAGTTTGGAGTTTTTCTTGACATCACACCTGAATTAATCCTTTTATAATTTCTACCATTTGCTACTGGTTCTGCCTTCTGGTTATAAGCAGAACATGTCAAATGCCCTTTCCACAAACAGTCCTTCAAATGCTTGAAGACAGCCACTATATTCCCCTTGAGTCTTATTTTCTTTAAGTTAAACATCCTGGGTTACTTTAGCCTGTCCTCATACCATAGAATAAGCTTAAGATCCTTCACCATCCTTGTCTCCTTCCTCTATGTGCTCTCCAACTTATTCATCAGTGTAGGAGAACATGGACCAAGTGAGTTTCTATCACATGGTTTCAAAACAACTATTGAAAACAATACATGTTGTAGTCTAGTACTGGTTGCCCAAAAACTCACATTAATTAACCTCTTCATTTATCAGCTGTCCCATTATTTTGCTGCAAAGTTGCCTCATTCTTGAGAACTAGAAAGCTCAAGCTTCTATAGAAGCCAGTTGGATACGCTCAGAGGCACCATTTTGGGAAGGACTATAATTAATTCATGTACTTCTCAGGGAACAAAATTTCACAATTTATACCCAAAAGTAAAAAGAGTCCATAGTCTCTTCCAAGAGATTATGTCATTTTTGTATTATGCAGTGAAATTCTTGTCTTGTCCTAATTTTATACATGTCCCAAAACAGAATATTGATGCCTCTTAAAACTCACCACAATGCACCTTCACTTGAGGATCAATTTCCTTTTAGGAATTCTACTTTTTAAGCACTCAAAGACATGGACAACTGAGTGAATTTCAATTCAACTTATCAAACTTCACTTGATCATCCATCTGACAACCTGAATTGGGATACCATGTGTTGCCTGATTTCACATTGGAATTGTCTTTGTCAATGGTGCTGGTAAGATGGAATATATATTTAAATTGTGTTTCAGTAGAAGGATATATTTAGATGATGGGAAACACATCTCAAGAATGGCACATTTTCATCTGTAGCTTTTTTCTTCTGTCTAGGGTTTCTACTCATGACTCTCTTAAGGTTCTTTTGTATCGTAGATTCCTCCTTACATAAGAGCTGTGTGAGCTTGGGCAAATCATGACCAATCTCTGGTCAATTCAATGAGGTGGTTGGACCAGATGACCTCTAAGGATCTTTCCAGTTCCGTATCTGTGGTAGTCCTCTGCTTCTAAAACACTTGGTTTCTTAAGCTGAACTTTTTAATACCAAATCCAAATGAAATAGATTTTTAAAAAAAAAAAAGTTACATGCCCATTAACCACTACCATCATTATCTACTTTCCTGGAGGAGAAGGAGAAAGAAGAGCAGGAAGCAGTTCACTTGATAGAGGTTATACTGATAGAAAGCTCCCCAGAAGACCTTTTATCTAAAAGTTATAGAGCTTAGCTGTGAGAATCTTAGAACTATGGTACTTGGACTTCATATCCCAGAGCAGATGTTGGAAAAGGAATAAAAGAACTCTTGAGAAAACATGCACTTAACTTCAGTTAACTCAACTGTGAGCCCTCTCTCTCACCTCAACAAGCCACTGTACTCAAGCTTAGAAGGAGGTAGTGAGGGTGGGAATCTAGTAAAGGTTCTTTTATTGTCACTCTGTCTGGAGTCAACTTTTTTAGTTTACCAGCAACCTCTTAGCCATAAGTTTGCTATTTTATTCCAGTGATTGCAGACAACCTATAATTGAAACAAGATGGTGGAGGATGGTGATTTTGACTTTGTTTCTCTAACCACAAATTACTGTGTCTGCATGGTACATGGGAGAATCATCATGTGATTCCAAGCACACATAAAGTAGCTTTTGGAAATTGCAGTTAGAGGAGTTCAGTTGTGGGGTTTTTTTTCATTCCCCTGGTGGGCCAAGGCAAAGGTAATGGAGGAAATGACAGTGTGTGAACAATTTCATGCTTATTCTTCCAGAGTAGAAGGAGTGGGAAACAAATGTTTCTCCAGTTCTGGAGGTGGCTGAATAAAAGATCTTCTAGTACTTGGTAGATAAGCTTTGCAAAACTCAATTACAGATAAAATATAATCCCTATCTCTTCCTAAGCTCATGTAGTGGTTGGGAAATAAGGCCAGGTCAATATTAATAAATTAAAGCACTGCTAGTCTATATCAAGTTTACCTGTAAAGACCTTGGACAGAGAGAGTTCAGTCCTGATTATTGTTTTTGTGGTTGACATATACATATAAAGGACAGCAGTAACAACCTAGATGTAAAGGTATATGAGTGATATGAAAACTGTTCTCTTAAAATAAAAAGTGAAAAAAACAACCTAAGTCAAACCTCAACTCCCTCTAATGCCTAGCCTTTCAAGGAGTCAAGCTAGTGGAGGACCAGGGTAGTGTGTTACAAGTTCTTATGAAGGGGGCAGAGCCAAGATGGCAGAGTAAAAGCAGTGACGTGCTTGAGCTCTCCCCCAAACCCCTCCAAATACCTATAAAAATGGCTATAAACAAATTCTAAAGCAGCAGAACCCACAAAAAGATAGAGCGAAACAAATTTCCAGCCAAAGACAGCCTGGATGGTTGATCAGAAAGGTATATCGCACTGGGCAGGGAGAGGAGTGCAGTTCAGTGTGGGCGAGCAGGCCGCAGTGACCCTGGAGCAGGCCTCAGAGGACTGAATTGTGGGCAGCTGTGGCAATTTCCAGACTTCTCAACCCACGAACGCCAAAGACAACTTAGAAAGTCAGTTGGAAAAATCTGTTTCTACGGTGTAGAGAGAGAAGCGTGGGGTCCCAGTCCCATTCCTTGGGGCAGTGGCTGCTTCCTGAGCTTCTGGCCCAGAGACTGAGGGGGAATCACAAAACCCCTGAAGCTTGGAACAGTACATTCTCCACACTAGAAATAGACTCCTACCTTAACAAAGAGTCTATAACTCAAGTAATTGGCTGAGATCATGAGCAAGCAGTGCAAAAAGAGTCAGACTGTATTATCTTACATTGATGACAAAGAAGATCAAAACATATAACCAGAAGAAGACAATGAAGCCAAAGCTCCTACATCCAAAGCCTCCAAGAAAAATATGAATTGGTCCCAGGCCATGGAAGAACTCAAAAAGGATTTTGAGAAGCAAGTAAAAGAAGTAGAGGAAAAACTGAGAGTGTTGCTAAAGGAGACCCAAAAAAATACTGAAGAACATAACACCTTAAAAAATAGCCTAACCTGAATGGCAAAAGGGGTCCAAAAAGCCAATGAGGAGAAGAATGCCCTAAAAAGCAAAATTGGCAAAACGGAAAAGGAAGTCCAAAAGCTTACTGAAGAAAATACTTCCTCAAAAATTAGAATGGAGAAATTGGAAGTTAGTGACTTAATGAGAAATCAAGACACTGTAAAACAAACCCAAAAGAATGAAAAACTAGAAAACAATGTGAAATATCTCATTGGAAAAACAATTGACCTGGAAAATAGATACAGGAAAGATAATTTAAAAATAATTGGACTATCTGAAAGCTATGATCAAAAAAGGAGCCTAGACATCATCTTTCAAGAAATGATCAAGGAAAACTGCCCTTATATTTTCGAACCAGAGGGCAAAATAGAAATTGAAAGAATCCACTAATCACCTTCTGAAAGAGATCCCCAAGGGAAAACTCCTAGGAGGTCAAGGAGAAGATATTGCAAGCAGCCAGAAGGAAACAATTCAAGTACTGTGGAAACACAAACAGGATAACACAAGATTTAGCAGCTTCTAATTAAGGGTCCGGAGGGCATGGAGTATGATATTCCGGAGGGCAAAGGAGTTAGGACTACAATGTAGAATCACCTACCCAGCAAAACCGAGTATAATCTTTCAGGGTAAAAAATGGTCATTCAATTAAAAGACCAGAGTTGAATAGAAAATTTGGCCTTCAAATACAAGACTTAAGTGAAACATGGAAGAGGTAAACAGGAAAGAGAAACCATAAGAGACTTACTAAGGTTGAACTGTTTACATTCCTGCAGGGAAAGATGATATTTGTAACTCATGAATCCTTTGTCAGTATTAGGGTAGTGGGAGGGAAAAATTATATGTGTGTGTAGATAGATAGATAGAGGGCACAGGGTGAGTTGAAGATGAAGGGGTGATATCTGGAAAATAAAATTAAGGGGTGAGAGAGAATTATAGTGGGAGAAGGAGAAAGGGAGAAGTAGAATGAGGTAAAATGTCTCACATGAAACAGACAAGAAAAGGCTTTTACAGTGGAGGGGTAATGGGGGAAAGTGAGAGGGAATGAGTGAATCTTATTCT